CTCTTTTCATCTGTCCCTTCCCTTGATAGCTTATACTGATGATGGTCTGCCATCCAGATACGCACTTTATTCACTGTGCTGTATGTTGAGATTATGGAAGCATACATTTATCTGTTGCAGCGGTTTAAAGTCGAGTTTAGTCTGAAGACAAACAAATTTGTTTTATCCCAAACAATGTGGCATGTATATAAGCTAACATAAACTGAAGCGCTTTTGCTTTTATCAATGTTTAAGTCAAACAAATAAGTTGCTTTGATTTAGTTTCACAGAGTTTTCAAACACGACAGAAAGAATGTGATAGAGATGTTTAACTAGATATATAAATTGAAGGAATTATCAAAGATAATTTTGGCTTTGCTGTTGGGGTTCAGCTTTAAAAGTTCAGTGTGATACATGTGCGTATATACTGTATGGCTAAGATGTTCAGCTGTCCGCTGGGCCGACCTCAGTCACATACATCCGTTCCTGATTTGTGCGCTGTATTAAATTGTAGGCTTATTGCGATTCGAACAGCTTCTTCCCGTCCGCAGGTGGGCTCATTAACAGAGCCCGGGTCCCCCACTGACTCTGTCATCCCCAGGACAATTCCCTTCCCTCGCTACTACTCCCCTCACATCCCTTCATATTTAAATACACTTGTCACTTTTACATTACACTTGTTTACAGTCCTGTTATCTGTTTGTCGTGCACTTTATTTTATATTCTTTTAAATTATATTGTAAATTTTAATATGTCTCTATTTCTTGTACTGTTGATTGTTGTTTATTGTTCAATGTTATTGTCTAATGTTATGCACCACCTGCCATGACTAATTCCTTGTACGTTACATACATTGGCAATAAACGGTTCTGATTCTGATTACCTTGAGAGACTCACTGTGACTCATTACAAAAAACTGAAGGACTGCGCTGGAGCTCAGCTCCCGTTTGAAATGTGCAGTATAGTGGTCGTAAAAATAAAAGTGATTCTATTTTAAGGGGAAAAAAGAGTTTACCAAATGAAATCCCATTTAAACTATAATGTATCAATCACATGTTGGCATAGGTTTCATGTTTATTACAGTATATTATTACTGGGCAACGATTAAAATATTTAATCGCGATTAATTGCATGGATTTTTTGCGATTAATCGCATTGTTATGGCAAAGTTCAATAATGGATTCAAAAGTAGTGTATTGCGCACTTTTATTTTAAAAGTACTGCTGTATGAACAAAAGGGCAATAACATTTAGTTCACGAGATGCAGGTAGCATGTTTTATACTTAATGTGAATATAATTCATACTTTGTTGGCATCTTATTCTGAAAACCGGATGTTCGTCTGAAGAAACCGGATGTTGTCTCACGTTAATGTTTCCGCTAAATTTCAAAGTCCTTCGCTCGCTCCCGATCTGTGCCGTTTAAATGCGTTTACCATGAATTTCAGCATATAGGTGCACTAACATGTACAGTAAGTGTCTGCTGAGTTGACCACGGAGATCTGAGTGTCTGCTGACTTTACCGCAGCGATGTCCAGTAGTCTCCAGGGAGAGCAACAGCTGGTGCAACTTCTCTCTTTATTTCTGCCCCCCCCCCTCGACCAGAAGCGGAAGTCGCCTTTTCTCTACGGCAGCCCTGAAGGAACATCATATCTCCAATACAAAACGATAAACATGAGACAGTCTGTTACAATAATAATAAATTAAAAATACTTTTTTTTTGTTGTTGTTTTTTAATTATTATTATTTTTTTTTTTTCCCATCTCAAAAGGCTCAAGGACATACACACACACACACACACACACACACACACACACACACACACACACACACACACACAACTGACTATAGGATGTTTGCTGGCTTTTATCCCACTGTTCTTGTCATCCTCTTGTTGTTATGTATATGTATTGTCTCTTGTCTTTCAATAAAAAAAAAAAAAAAAATTATAATGAATTTAAAAAATGAGTTAACGCGCAATAAAATAATTGTCGGCGTTAGTTAATGATGCGTTAATGCGAAATTAACGCGTTAACTTGCCCAGCACTACAGTATATATATATATTTTTTATCTCTCCTTTTGCAATATATTTAAGATAGATGACTTGTTATTTTTTTGTCATTATTACTACATACTTTCCAGGATTTGTTTTCGGTGTTAAGCAATCTAAAAGAGTACAAATGAAGGCAAAGCTTTGGTTTACACATAACTCATGTGTCCACATATTCACAGAACAACAGACAGAAGAAACAAAGGACACATGGGCCTGGACATGCAGGGAGGAAAATAAATAATCAAATGTAATATAACAAGCTATAAATAGCATAAAACACAAACAATATGTTGTGCATAAAATCAAAGGAAGAAATTAAAAGTTAACATAAATGATTTCCACAGTGAAATGTTAAATCTTTATTTGAATTCACTTTGGCCAAATTAGTTTCCGACTAAGCTCCCAGTGGTGTTGTTGTCTGCTCCTCAGCCGTCCGCTTGGTTTGTCTTTATCTAGAGAAAGGTGCATGCTTTGCATGATCTGCTATCTCCCAGCAACATGCCTGAGGACACACACACACTCACCAAAACAAAAAAATGGCCTTTAACAGCACATACTGCTTGGTTCCTATTTAGAGGCTGGAGGGTGAGGGTGGAGGTGGGGTCCACAAAAGTCAATTTACAGTACGGGTCAGTTCATCTGAAAGCCTTTACCACTTCAGCCAAATTCTTTGTCTCCTTCATTCACAGCTAGTTATCTGGACCGCAGGCTTCACAAAGGCAATTGGCATTATATTGTCCGGGCTGACACTAACCCCTGATATTTTCACTGCTCTCCATTACAGTCCTCTTTTCCTTCTCAATTACCAGGCAATTCCCACAGAGCGGGGGGGTCACGCCAACCACAGAGAGATAATTAGATACTTTCTGACAAAGACAGAAAGAAAGAAAAGAAACATAAACTGCAGCGGCGATTAGTTCCGTTTTTTTTTGTTTTGTTTTGTCTTCGCTTTGAACACAAAGGCCCTTAACAGCCCAGATAAGGGCCGCTCTTAAGCCATTTTTTAACCTCATACCCGACAAAATGAGCCCATTCATGACCCATTTTCTACGCGGTCACTCTTCTGCCCCGCCGCGGCTTTGTGTCGAAAGAAATACGGAAGAATGTGGACCAAATCAATATTTACAGCAGGTTCGTATTGTTCGCAACACGCAGGCCTCACCTGACATGTTTTATAGTGCGGACTTCATCCAAGTGAGATATTTCACAAGGGTTAGATTGAGGTCGGCTGAATAGTCGCACGGCTTAAGGATAGCAATGGTTGCTCAGAGGGTCAGTTGGCATTTCCAGACGGAAGCAGGTCGGACGATCTAATCTGCGGCGGGAAGAAACCGCTCTGTCATGTTTAGTTTACGTCATGAAAATTTCACATGGTATTGTGTGACAAAGAATTTTTCAACCTGATCTCAACATTTACATAAGCACAATTTCGTAATTTAGCACATTTCTAGAATTGACTAGAAGATGAAAAATGTAATTTTGTGAGACATATCCCGGTCCTTAGTGCTTTAGATGGTCACAAGAGTTCTCAATGTCTCAAAATTGGCTCAATGTCTGCACTTATTTAAAAGTGCTTTAAACAGTCCAGGGACTATTTCACATGCTTAAGATTTGCCAAATGTGCTAGAGTACCATCTTGCACACTTGCACACTCGGCCACACCAACATGGCTTTGGTGTCATCAGTAGCCCTTTTTCATCCACTGCTAGTCCTTCGTCTCTGACTGAGCCACCTGTATCTGAGGACAGCGTGAGAGTCCTCAATCAGTCAGTGAGGCGTCACATTTCTGCAGCAGTGAACCCAGTGACAGACTCACACACACATACCAGACCCCTATGCTCTCTAACTACCAGGCTGAGGAATGCCAGTGAGTGAGGAGTCCTTGAGGCTGTCGACAGACGGGCCTTGGTTCAGGCAGAGCAGACCCCCACTCACCTGCACGCAGCAGACCCTCCCTGCCCCCGAAACCAATAGACCACAGTCCACTGTGTCCGACCTTTTCTGCTTTTAGACTGCTGCTACACAACATCCTCTGATCAAATCCTTGTAAGATTTCATGGTTTGGTTACTCCCCTCAGCCGCACTGTCACCATGCATCGTCATGCATAACCTTAAATAGACGTGCCCGATTAAGCTTTCTTTGCATCCAAAAATGAAATTAAAGTCCAGCATCATGAAAATGGCCTCTAAAATTGAAATGACTGGTGATAATATTCCATAAGGCCTTGTTGTTCCAGAGCACGGATTGTTTTGGCTGTTTCCGTGTGCACAGGCTAGGTAGAGGTCAGGGAGTGTTACAGCTCCAGTGAGTGTGCAGCTCGCGCAGGCCGGTGCTGCGATGCATCATGTGAGCTCACAGCATGGGGCCCTACACCCTCCACAGCTATTTCTGTCAGCGTAGAATCATGAGAACCACTTTAACCAACACACGGCTGGCCAGAGGGTAATATCTCGGCTGTACGCAGCGCCAAGTCTGCTTTCGTCCGACAGGCCAACTGTCTGACTATATGCTCCAAATAAATTAGATTTCTGCCTTTGTTTTTTTTGTTTTTTATTTAATGTTTGTTCATTGGAGGTCTGGCGCCAGACAGATGGGTGTTTGAGTGTGATAGGAGTGACAAAAATCCGTTTGCAATGGCCTTTGTGAGGAGGAGGAATGTCCAAACAAACACTTTCCCAGGGTTTGGGTGATTCAGAGAGCAATTCCCGACAGGCTGTCAGGTTGAACCCTGCAGCTCCTACTGACTGGGCTGAGTTACAATCACGGTGTGCTATAAGTTGTGGCAAACGCCTATTTTATAACACATTACAATAAATGTTGCTCAGCTTTGGAAATAATTAGCCTTGGAGGTTATGGATTTGTCTTTGCCAAAATTCTGTAAGAAGAGCCACACGGTACGTCCTTAAAGGCGCAGTTCAGAGTAAAAGAGAAAAAAAACATGCAAGTTCCATGTGAAATAATTATTTTATAAATACTTCTTTCTTTATTTCAGTATACAAAATAACAGTATGTACACCCACCCAACAGTGGTTTACAAAATCCATGAGTTCAGCTCATACGCTCTGAAAAATAGAATATATTTTGAACTGCATGTCAGACATGAAGGAGATAATGCACCATTTCACAAAGTCCGTAATAGTCGTCTCTCAGTCCACAGGGATGCAGACACGTCTAGATCCGCACGGGAGACATGGCGAGAGTCCAAACCGTCAACCACAAAAATGTTCCATGATTGAAAAGTACTTTGAAGTTCCCTTTTGTGTTCCTTTTTTACCCCTATTGTCCATTGTTGCAGAGTAAAAAAGGTTTTAATAGTACCTTTAAAAAAAAGTACCACGCAGATCCATCAGAACCCTTTGATTTCCGTGAAATGAAGTCAAACACAAGTCTCTGTCTAGTGAGGGGGAAAGACAAAAATCCCTCTCCTCCAGCATAAAATCCTATATTATTTATTTTTATTAGAGATATAATAAAATAGACTTTCAACATCCCTGTTAGGGGGATTTATAATTATTAACAAGAAAAAGGAAATACCCAGGAGGACGGCGGTCACCACCTAAACTGGCACAGTCGCCACGCTCTCCACCTCCAGGTTTTGTGAAGCGGAGAAAAAAGCTCAGAAGCCCAATTGGCAGTTTGGAGATTCGATACAAAAAATGATACTGACACGAGAATAGACCAGGTCTCGTTGAGTTAAACATGCTAAAGCTTAAGACAAAAGTAAGCCTTCTCCATATTGTAGTGCTTTGGTTAATCTGTAGCCTCGGGGGCGACTGGGTACAAGTAGAGGGCCGCTGGCGGGTGGGCCGGTCGGCGACACACACTCATTTGCAGACATATCTCTCCACGATCCGCTCACACTTCTTGCAGGTGACGTAGCAGCACCAGTGGTACTTGCAGTGGCAGCGCTCCACCAGCTTCTCCATGTACGGGTTGTAGCCACGGCCGCAGCACATCAGGTCGCAGCTGTCACTGCCAAGGGAGGTTTTGTTGCACTGCCTGAAATTAGACAAAAAAAGGTTTAATGTTCAATCAGACATTTAGTTTTTGTTACAACTATACATATTTGCTTCAACAAGATGAAGAAAAAGTACTCTGGAGGACTGAATAACCAGCTATGAATGTTCAGATATTCAGTGTGGTTTCCTGCCTAAAACAATTACGTTTACAGCTTCATTCAAAAGTATTCTGTTCGAAGCACACAATAGTCCTTTTAAAAGAGCCGTCCTGTGTGCCTCAACCTTTTGAGCATTTCAGGAGCCTAAAGCCTCTTGAATGAGCAGAGAATAGCCCCGCCGTAAATCACACTGAATACACAGGGCTGCCCCTCCCTTTCTTTAGCTTGTCTTCTCCACATAATTGCATTGTTTTATGATGGCAGAGTGTTAATGACCAGCGTGTTGAGGGAGACACTGAGGCGGCTGCGGGAGCGAAGGAGATGGAGGAAGACAGGTTTATTACATTGGTGGGAGCCGGGAAGCACGCAAAAGGAGCGAGATGATTTTGTTATATCACTTCCGTGCTGTGAATGGAGAAAGAGGACAGCACTGTGCGTTCTGAAGTTCACATCTGCTGGTTGACGCTGAGGCACAGTAATTTAAGACCAAAGCACAAGCTTCAATAGCGCGTCTCTTCCCAATGCCGTGACACTTTTTCCGTATCAGTGATCGCATTTTATCCATCAGGAACTGCTGCTAAAATGAACTTTGGCTGTCCCACATTCTCTCGTTCTATCCACAGCTGTCAGGTCTTGTGAATGGGTCAGAGCTAACAATGTAGACAGCAGCGGGGTCAGTTCAAGTGTAAATAACGATAAAAAGTGGCCATCAGTGAGATGATATTGTGTGAGTGAGTGTTAGAACGCAGGGAGGTTTGAGAAACCCGAGAGCATCGGTCTAGACCAGGGGTCGGCAGCGTCTTTGATACGAAGTGCTAGTTTTTAATTCTCTTGTTAATCAGTGTGCCTTATCAACATTAAGATTAATATTAAGTTTAATTATGACCAACATCAACATTTAAATCTCCAAAGGATTTGTAATTTCATTCAGTCCAGAAAGCTAACCTGCGTAGCAACATTTTTCAACATCCACATCTGAGTTGAAGTTATTGACCTACCAAACTTCCACCAATCTGGTTCATCAGCAATAAACTTAACGAATTCAACACAGAAGTCAACAAGTTCTAGCCAATCAGAGGCAGAGTAGGGCGGGTCTTAGCTGAATGCAAGGTTAGGAAACAAATCAATCAAACTACCATAAATAAAAGGCCACACAATGGCAATGGCACAATACATTTCCAAAAAACTCTCTTGCAAACATTGTGTGCCATTGATTAAGCCGCAGCTTGACAATGGTGGCACGTATAGCTAAGGTTGCCCTAGTTGAGACATATGGGAACAATCGATTCCCACGCATGTTCACTCACACTTACTCAAACACAAACATTAGCGTCACGCCTTCATGTAACAGCGGCAGCAAAGCGGGCGCCTCCTGATTTGGCAAAAGCACCGATGTAGCGGGATGTGCGAGTCTGCCGCGTTATCAGGCTGCAGACAGCGGACGCATCGAGCACAGCCAGTGTCCTTGACATGAAGCATGTCTTCTGGTTATCTGGAGAGTGGCCCAATGGCTGAGGGACACATGATATGACAGTCATATTTAGTGGAGCTTTTTATCCTCAGGGGCTTACTCAACTGTTAAAGTCTGGTTAAACAGATGATCAGCGGGGTGATGTTGGTGAAATTACACAGGATCGAGTTTTAATACTAACAGAGAAACTTCAGCAAACTAACTAGTCATCCTCATAATTTGCCTTTAAATTCAAAGCTAGACTGTAAAGCCTTAGAAACAAGCTGTCCTTTTCTGCATCTCAGTTATGGAAAATTGAGAAATTCAACAAGCTTGCAAGCTAGTGCTGCATATTTGTGCCCAAGTCCTCTGATAGTGTTTAGACCGATCTCCGCTTGAGTCAGGCCCTCAGACAAATGGGCTCCTCGCTGCCCACCAGCTTCTCACGGAGCACAAAGCAGCAGCACCTAACACTGTCCCAACCAGCGGCGCAAATAAACCTTTATCTTTGGCGGACTATTTCCCCATTTGTGTGGCCCCCTCCAACCGATATCAGCTCGAGTCCACTCAGTCCTAAGAATAACGGCATTAGTCATTAGATAGCGAGACGACGACTCCAGTCGCACTGGCGTTTTCAGTGACACATGCTCAGACAACCCACAGACGGAGCACTCTCAGGGGCCGCTGGTTGTTATCAGCCGGCCTGCAAACGAAACGGGACCACCAGACAGGACAGCACTTCGCTAGAGTCAGCATCCTGGACGAGCAGACATCCAGGATCAGTCACTTCCTCTTTCTCAGCTGAGTGAGTCGTGCTAACGAATCTAACACCATCACTGCTACCAAATATCCCCCTCTTTCTCATGCACGGTCAAACACAAGGACGCGACGCGGCGCTCTCACCTGTCCTGGGTGCCAATGGAGCCCTGCTTTTCGTTCTTAGCACAGAAGTCCGAGGAGCTCTGCAGGTAGACCAGCTCGTTATCCCTCACCGGCCTGATGTCAATGTCTTTGGGCACCAGCTGCTTGCGCGTCCCCATGGGCCGGTGAACCACTTTGGTGGCCGACAGGTACTTGATCTTCAGGTCCATGGCGATCTCCCTCAGGTCTTCCAGGCCTCTCCAGCAGGTTCTTATGGAGCAGGAGCCGGACACACCATGACATTTACACTTCATCACCAGCGCCTCTCTCAATGCCTAGACATGACGACATATAAGAGAGTACATGTCAGTCAAATACAATTACAGATGTTTACCGATTCCAGTTTTCCCTTCATGATACCGATTTCGATACCTGAACTTGCGTATCGACAGATACTAAGTACCGATCCGATACCAGTGCGTTAATATAACGTTTACTAGCTCTCCTTTTTGTTGTTCACGATGTAGCAATATGAGGAAGAAAACGTGCACAGGAGTGTTTAACCCCAGGCGTGTAGTACTAGTTTATACATGTGCAGTAGCGATAGGGCAGGCTGTACGGATCAGGTTGTTGTTCCTGTGTAGCGCTAATCAGCTGTTAAATGAAATGATAACGTGATATTGAATCACGTACTCGCTGATACGCGATCCAGTGTTTCAGGCTGTAACGAAGGCATTTTGTTTACTGGTATCGGTGTTGGAACACCTCTATAATAAATTGTACACAAATACATTTACAATTTATAATGAGGTGCCCATTATAAAAAAAAAAATTTAAAACATATTAGGAAACATTTATTTGCATTTTTGCACTTATTTTTAAACGAGCAAAAGTACGGCCACATCGCTTACCTGTCTTCCGACTTCACTGTTGTGTAGGTGCATCAGTTTGTTGGCGTGGGAGCCCGCACGCTTCATCTTCATGGGCGCGTCAGAGAACTTGGAGCCCATGATCAATCCGTAGTGTAGGTTGTCAGCGCAGCCGCCCCAGCGATAGCCCGGTTCCGGGATCTCCGCAGGAATAGGGCCACACGAGCACAGCCGCAGATCTCCGGAGGTGCAGGCCCGTGCTATGGTGTGGCTGATGGTCGCTGCAGACAGGGCATAGACAAATGCAGACTCTCTGGTTCCTGTCGACACAAAGAAGATAAAAACTAAATTATGGTAAAATAAAGGAAGACCTGGTCCTAGTCCCCGAATGTTTTGGTCTGTTAAATATCACAATATAGTGAAGTTTTCTGTCACAATATCCCACAAACCTAGATGATGTTATCTTATTTTGTCCAACAAACAGTGCAAAACTCAAGCTTGCTGTCACACAAGACAAAGAAAAGCAACAAATCCTCACATTTTAGAAGATGTTAGAAGGTGTTTGGGCATTTCTTTGAAAATTACTTAAATAATTAATCAATTATTACAATACTTGCAATTATTTTGCTGTTTGATTGATTAATTGACTAATCATTTCAGCTCTAGCAGTAATTAGTAGCAAAGCAGTAGATTCAGAAATGTAATACATTAAATCATATTTACGCAATATAAGGAGCTAACAGTATATTTCGTTTAGGTTTTGTGAGATTAGTTTGTTTTTTTATGGTTGTCAGAATGTTATCATTTGTCATAATGTATTTTTTGAGCCTTAGCATGAGGCGTGTAATGGACAGCTTTAATTTATGTTGGTTCCGGTTGGTTCCAACGGTCTCAAAGCACTTCTGCTGTATAATCGACTTCTCTGAAATCCATCTGTCCCGTTTCCCTCTCAGAGCTCTCAGTGAACAAAAAAAGAACAACGAAATTGAGTGCACAAAATGAAACGATCAAACATAGTCCATCAGTCCTCTCGTGGTAACGCAGAGTGAGCGCTGATGTAAGTGGGGGTGATGTGAGCACACAGGAAAGCACATATGTTAAAGGCCGGGGAGCAATTTGGAAGTAAGGGAAGAAATCACGTATGACCGTGGGCTGGTTAGATCAAAGCCATCCCCGGACAGAGATGAGCCATTTCCTGTTTGGTGCAGACTGTTCATTTGGCAAATGGCAGCCATGTCCCCCCCCCCCACACCCACAACACAGCAACTGCCTCTGGCTGACTCAAGGTCCTTTTGGGCATTAGACAGAGCTAAGACGGACTGCAAAGCAAACAGATAATGCTGTGTATTTTGGTAATCAAAAATGCTATTTTCTTATCATGCAGAATGAATGCATGTTGTATGTGGGGGTCTCATTTAAAAACAGCTTCAGTACTAGTTCCTGGTTAAAGCTCCTCGGGAATAAATGATGGAATAATTTGGCTGGCAGGAAGAAAGAGGAAAGATGAGGCAATCATCTTTGAAAACGACATTTGTCTGTATCAAAGCTCTTTATGTGGCAGTCATGTTAATACATGCAGATGTTAAAGGGCCTGAGGATCATTTCACCAGTTTCTGAACTGCAGTAAATGCAGCACTTGACAACCTCGGTTTTGGCTATTCATTGAATGTCAATCATGACCAATAACATCAGACTCTTGCGGGTAAAAAAGAAAAAAACTTGGAGCGGCTCTTTGGAAACAAAAGCATCCGCGCCGTCCTTCCAAACGGTTTATAATAATGGCCGTACCGCGGTCGAGATCCGGCCGATACTTCTGAGTGTCGACGGGGATGTCGATGGAGGAGCAGTTCCAGCGCATATCAGCAAAGGTCTTCTGACACGTCTTCTTGACTTCGCGGGCAGCCGTGATGATGGTTTGCATGAGCTCCAGGTTGCTGCGGCACAGCTGAGCTTGGGAGGACACCAGGCCGGGCAGAAGCTTACAGTGCTGGGTCTGGTTGATGTGTAAGGACGCAGGGGCCTGTGATATCGACCTGTAAGGGAAGGGATGAACACAAGGAAGAGGTATGCGTTTTACAATACTATCAAGCAGTGTTGATGTCATTGCTGAGTTGTAAAATGATCACGTTTACGCTGCTCAGAAAGAGTTTTAGTTACAGAGCTGTGTTTGCCGCTCTAGTTTCTTGCGTACACACATTTCAAGCCCCTGAGATGCATCAGGAACAAACAATTGAAAAATTCAAAAGAGATAATGCTTCAGGCGGGGAAACATTTTGGCATGTGTTGCGGAGAAGAACCATGTTATCGCAGTGAAAATCCCGAAGGAAAGTCAAGCCGAGGATTCATAAAATTCAAGTGACACGTTCTTGGCACAGCGCTTTTGTTTTGTTAAAGCACAGAAGAGGCCTCAAGATATTCCAGGAAATATAAAAAAAAATCCCACTGAATTCAGATCCACAGTCAGATGAGAAACTACATAGATCCGTCGCATTTGCCACCACAGAAAGCGCCGTCCTCTGTGGCCCCAGTTTGACATGAATCATACGTTTACGCACTATTAAGAGGGTGCACTTTTTGATTTTAAGCGTTCTAAAGTTATTGAGTATTAACTTAATAGAGAAACCGCAGGCGGAGCAGGTTAGCTCTGATCTCTGCTCTCCGTGTCTGCAGAGAGCTCGTGAGAACCAGGGGGCGCAGCCTGCACCTCGGCCTGTTTTGCATTAAGGGGGCCGAGGGGGCCGCCGCTCGGTGCCCAATGATAAGCTGTGACTCCGCTGGGTTGGTGGTAACCCGGCACTCACAGGTGTTTACAGCCGCATCTGTTTTGCGTTGTGCATTGTGCATTATGAGGACTGTAAGAGGGCTTCGATTTAGCACATGCCTTCCCCAGCTCTCATGGGCACATCTGCTTAAGTCCTCCCGCTGTGAGACTTACAAGCACTCGCTCTGATAAGAGGCCATGGAAGCACAAGCAGAAAGTTTAGTCTTTTTAAGAGCTCAGACGTGAGGCACGGGGATAAAAAAAACCCAAAGCGTTTATGAGAACAGCAACCAAAACCATGCAAAACATTCAATTGAAACATAAGCAAATTCAAAAAATAGCTTGGGAATTTTACGGACTTTCCAAAATGATTGTTTACTTTTACTGTATCATAAAAACAGCGTGGTGCTCAGTACAGGCAACATTTCAGGTCAACATTTACAGCATTGCAGCATCCCTCTGCAGCACACACTATTTTTACACTGATTGAGGCCGAACTAGACTACACACAATGGCACTGTCTGCACCGCCATGACGCCCCATCACCTCCGCCTTATTCTCTATTCTCATCTTCTTCATATTAAACAGCTGGTGTGTGTGTGTGTGTGTGTTTGTGGGGGGGGGGGGGCTTTTGATCTTAGAGCTCCTTCTACTGAAATGTTTTCCCTTCATTTCTCTCAGAAACCCTCGCTAATCTACTGTCCCCTTCATCAGATACACATGTACAGAACGCAATGGCCCCTCCCTTGATCAGGAGCAACTAGAGGAATGCTGGGGCCCATTTCTAAGCTGCCAAGGGCCCCTCCATTCTCCATAAAACACAGAAGCACACGGACGCATAATATAATATTGCGTATCTTCATGACGTCGTCTGTTTGGACGCTGTTTGAATGCGAAGGCCCCGAAGAACGAGACGGCGCCCTCCTGAGAATACTTACAGCCATTTGATGCCGGAGCAGACCTGAGACAGCAGCAGAGTTGCGAGCACACCAAGAGGCAGGACATGAGAGCTGCTCCTCATGGTGGGACGGTGGCTCCAGTTCACACACAGGACACGAACACAAAGGGGGCCGTTCGGGCTTCTCGGCTCAGACTGGAAAGTCAACTCTCATGGCACGGCCTCCTCTTCTAAACCCTGCAATTAATAACATAAATAACGTCAAGGACTTGGCAATGCAGATTTTTTTAAGCATTTGTTTCCCGATGAGCTGAATGCGGCGTGGAAGCCTTTTGCGCACGCTCGGAAAGCTTACAAGGTTATACACGAAGATTTAGAAACAGACCAAATCTGACCACAGGAATACTCAGATGATGGAATATTATTTTACTTTTACATCGACAATCTCGAACATTATGCGCACATTAAATAAAAAAAACTATGTGATAGAAAAAAGGGGAAAGGTAGTGCTTTTCAGTTCACCAACACTATTGTAGGAGTTCAAGCACACTGTAGAACAAATCCATGATGCAACGCTTCAACCTCCTTCTACATGCAAATAAACACAAGGAACCAGTAATTCCAATGAAACCTTAAGACAAAGACATCTCTTGCATTTTAATGAGGGGTCCAAAGCTGTAGGCCTACCTGCAGATTGTGTCAGTAGGCACAAGTCTGACTTTACTCTGTGAATGTGAAATGGCTTCATACTGCTGTCTGTTGTTTTTTGGTCACCCACGGTATTTCTAAAAAGCAAAAACCTTGCGCCAGAAGCTTTCAGGCCAACAGGGTTTATTCCCTGCTATTCAACTGTATTTACCAGCTTCTGTAAGTCGGTTCTAGTGCTCCACTCGGGGACACGTGAAGAATTTAGCAGAAAGAGCGGCAGCAGCGGGATCAACGCGGTAATCTTCCGTCAGAGCATCGGGAGCATTACCTGATAGCGCTGAGCTGTCGATAAGCAACTCTTTGAAGAGAGCTTAAACAGACCGCATTAAAACTACTGATAATGGAACTCTTTTTTTTTTCTTCTAAAGCGCCAGTTCCGCTGAAACTGTGAGATATTAATTATTTAAATGAGCTGAGGTGAAACTCGTCTCACTCGGCCAACTGCTTTGCGAGCACTCTGACCTGGAGGCTCATATAATAAACTCAGGCAGCCTTCCATACAGCCTACTATTGGTTACAGTAAGATATCCACTGAGCATTTAGCCTACAGTCTTTATTTGCCGCTTGGCGTCGCGTCTGTTTAGTCGGTTTAACTGTTTAAATTTACATTTGGCCGAAGTGGGCTGAATGGCAGCTCCTGTTTCCCCCCTGAAAGATAAAGACTGATACACACACACACACACACACACACACACACACACACACACACACACACACACACACCATCCGATGTGTGTCTATCACCGAGCCAAGATAAGCTGGGCAGGGACCGGGCACACCAAGTGGACTGCTCATCATATTTCCCTAACGATTGAATCAGTGGAGATTAACTGACACAAGGTCGGACAAGGATATATAAATATTTAATAATAACCTTTGTAATAGTGTTGTTTGCCGAGATGTGAGAATGAAAGAAGTATTCATGAGGAGAAACTCACTTTAAAGACAAAAAGAAGCAGCTTGTATGGAAGTTGTTATAATAATAATAATAAATAATAATAATAGGCCTATCTGTTATGATAATAACATAAATCAAACATGCATCATTGTAATATAAAGGCAGTTATTTCTCCTATCCTTAACTTCCCACACTTATCTTTAATTATCAGCAGATAACCTCGGCTTTTTACTCACTCAACAATCCCAAACGTGTTATGCATCGCTCACTAACAGCAGCAGAACATAACTGTTCCTCCGACCAGAGGGCTTTCTCCTCACCTTTGCCGCGCGCGCTGCTTTTCACCGTTGGAACAAAACCAGACAACAAGAAGAAGAAGAAGAATTCAAAAAAAAAATCTCGGAATATCCTCTCAGAGTGAGTCGTCTGTTGTCGCTATCAGCCAGACGCACGAGTAAAATCCAGCACGGGGTGGTGGAGTAGCTCCGGACAGGTACGCATGGTGTTGGTGAGTGCGAGCGGGACAGAGAGGGCTGAGAGAGTGACTGAGCCTGAGGGGGGGGGCAGACTCAGCTTTAAAAGTACTACCCACTGCCCTGCTTTGATCTCACTGCTGATGTCAGACCCGCATTAGCATAAGAACGCACGGGAGCAGAGTTTAGCTACTCGGACATATACGCGCATAAAGAAACACCGTTTTTCAGTTGGATCGGTACCCTAGTTCAAATATAATAGAGCCGTGATGTTCCCACAGAGTAGTGGAGTGAGTTATAGTGCGTCCGTGATGATGAATAGTCCAAACACTGACCTTATTCTATTGGCATTTTTTTTATAGCTGCTCTGGTATCATACTGCCATTAAAATGCCAGATTCTCAAAGGACACTTTGTTGTGACCTTATCATTACGCTTAATAGTAGCAAATATTTTCATGACACCAATCAGTCATACAGGGTATATTGCACGACTTTAAAATGAATAGAACAGAATATACAACCTATTAAATGGTGTGTAATAGAGTATTTCATAAACCAAAAACATCTCAGTTAAGTATAGTTTTCAATCGTCTTTATAAATAGTTATACTGCCTTTCTAAACAGTGCACTGCTGAAAAAGTAATAATATAGAATAATGAAGTCCTATATCAATTTTAGCACCACAACAATTGCTATAATTATATCAATAGTGTTAAAAGGGCAACATTCAATACCAAACGTTATTTCATATTTAATTCTTAAGATTAAAAAAGGATTCACAGATATGGTGTTGGTATAATGGAGGGCAAAGTGCCACTATTGTTAAAAAAAACCTGAAATGACACAAGACATGTAGGCTACTGTATCCATTGATTTCAAACGTGCAGCCATTTGGCGAACAAATATGAAATAATTGAATAATTCTTTAAATTGTAAAGGTCCCTCGTACTTTTCATCCAAATCCATTGAGGTCTGTGGTAAAACTCTGCCCTGCACATTGACTTCATAATAGATGTTTCTAAGAGTATAGGCACAGACACACCCTTTTATCTGCACTGATATATTATCGGTTTTTTAGATACGGGAATAATTTCCAATTTGAAATGTGAACATGCTCTGACTTCCCAACGACACTCTTTTTATTAATTTGTGAAAATACCATATAATAGTTACAAGGTACTGTAATACAATGTGACATGATAATGCGGTATTCTAAGCGCACACACGCGCTTGCTAATGCTACCAAACGTATTCTTTACATTTTTTCAAAATAAAACCTTCTTAAAGTCACATCTAGTTTTCCTGCACCGGCTGATTTCCTTAAATATGAACCACACTGTAAGTGATACGCTGCAGAGCCAGCTGTGGGGAAAGTAACGCGCAGTTTCCCAGAGAATCTGCTGCACCTCCAGCGCTCAGACAAAGGCAATAGTGAGCTGTTGTCCAGACCTTGACCTTGAGACTGGTGTAGCTAACACGGCTGGCCCTCGTGCACTGCTAGCTGCTCCGCCCGGGGAAACAGCAGATCAGGTGTTGTCGTGCCGTCTCTGGAGCGGACACATTTACAGATCACAACAAGCCCTCTTCCTCTGGGGAACACCCGGATCGTGTGCTGGAATCTGTTGGCCAAACAGGGTCCACTGTTACGTTTTACACACGGTACGAGAGCTCCATGTTTACAGGGCTGTGATCCCGGGGTTCCAGTGTTTTACATGGCAGTCAACTGCGAATGGGCACAGGTCGGAGCGTGTGTGTGTGTGTGTGTGTGAGTCGTTGGAGCTTCCAGCAGGACCAGGCCCGTCCTACCCGAGAGACTTTTTACACTCAGGCTCTCCATTCCTGAGCTAGGATCAACACACAGCCCCTTGATCTTCACATCTCACCTTCCAAGCAACGCGGTGGGGGTGACCACCTTCTGAGGGAGACGGAGGGGGGGATAAGCGAGCCACTGGAGTTCATGAAAATGAAATAATTCATGTCACATAATGGCAGAATCAGAGCTGCGTTTAGGATCAAACCCGTCTCTACGGATATAACGTTACATTGTCCTTTTTAACTGTTACGATAATCTGCTTTCGACATGGTGGGATTACTGGAGGAAAACCTACAATGTGCATGAAAAGTTGCCCTATTATATTAACAGTAAAAACATTTCAAAGTTTCCAAAACTTACATTCTATTTCTATTTCTACTTTTCTTCTTTTTCTCGGCACACTGTTGTTTGATCCAGATGTGGTTTGAGGCTGAGCTGGAAGTTTTTTCAATCAGTAAATTAGATAAATCCCTTTAAATTATGGGATATCATAATCCCAATGAAATATTTCAAGAACACAAACTGTAAATTCACATAAATAGAAACAGTACTTTATTTGCCTTTGGTAAAACGCTGCATGTGCAAAATTGGATATCACAATTCTTGTGTTGCAAAAGTGTCACGGTTTAAATGTTTAGGAAAAAATATACAGTTTTTAAAATTGCTTGAATAAAGAATGGAGTTTGCCCAGCTCTGGCATAATGTCTGAGAGCAATGAGTGCTCGGTCTCACCGCATTGAGCCATTGTGCCGCAGATCTCAAGAGGCTCGAGCCAATATCACAAATCTGGAGGCTCACGGAGTAAAAAGGGGGGGGGGGGCACTCAACTTTCACCCAGGAGGATCAGAGACTGAATGGTGCAGAGTTACTATTATGCCCCTGGAAAATCCTCCCATGCTCCCATCAGGATACAGATAAACCCAAACTGGGCTCCAATGATCAGCACTAATATTTTCAAATAAACATGTTGAATGTTTTAAATCTATTTTCTTTGCTCCTATAAATGTTTCAAGATTTAAAAGGGAGATGAAAGATGACGAAGTAGATGTATGTTCTAAACTTAGTTCAGTTTTAATGCCAAACCCTCGTCGGAAAAAAAGGTCATCTTTTTATTTTTTAAATCTGAAAATCTCCCTTTTTATTTTGTCAATTTTTGATAAAATGACCACAATGATAAACTAATAAAGGTTGATCTCTGATGAGGTACGTTCATTCTGTCTGTTTTCGATTACCAACTCAACCCATTTGACCGTGGATAGATTTCCAATCAAAATCAAAGCCAGGAGCTTGATTAACAGGCTCAACATAAATACAATAAAGCCAGAACTTAAAAGGGAATTTTCAAATGGAAACCATCAGTGAACCACATCCGTAACGGTTAGCTTTCATTCAGCCTCTTATCCCCAACCAAACGGTGAACGGTGCAGGGCTCTGCTGCCAGCTGATTATTGACAAATAACAAGAACGTTATGGATTACCAACGGTATTCCAAGGGTCAAATCAGACCTGCAGAGCGACAGCGACAGCTTTCGGATCAGCCATGTGAAAATCCAATCACCCTCCGGTGTCCCTCCTCTGAAAGCTCACAGTGGGGATCGCCTCAGAAACAACAAGCCTCCTCCAATCTGCCTGACTGGACCCACATCTTTCGTACGCCATTTGTTTACAACCTCTGTCTCTATTGTAATTTGAGGACGGAGCCCCTTTCAAGTGACAGATGGGTGGCACTTTTGAACACGTCATGTGGTCCTACAGGGAGCCTGCACCAGGGCCTGTGTGCTCATGAAGCCCAGGAGTTCACCGGCACCGGAGGACCATTTCCAAAAAAAAACCTAAAGGGTTACGAAAGGTTGCCTGCGTTGTGGGTTAACCAGCCAAGAGAGGAGTGGATTCCAGTAACACAAGTAATTAATCACATCACGGGCCTGTCATATCATCAGATTGTCATAAATCTGAGTTAAATGGGTCCATTCACTTCATGAGAACAAAACACGCTTTAAAGGGAAAATACACCCTAAAATAGAGCATTTATTGCATTTGTTTACTCCAGTGATGAAGTCATTTTAGAAGATCGAGACATTTGTTGATGATGTCATCGGGTGACAGGATTTGGATTAGTTTCATTGACACAATCAGTGACTGTATCAATAGATATAGTCCTCCAGTAAATTATATTTAAATGTAGAGCAGCACTTACCATAAACCTATAATCCACTAAAATATCTTGGGATTATTATATTATATTAATATCTTGTTTTATTATTTACTGTCTGTGGAGCAGCTGCACGATATGTCTCGTGACATCATCTCCGTCTCTTTGACGTTCATCTGGTCCAAGTCGTGAATTATAAACCGAGCCATACATCACGGCAGAACAAACATATGTGAGTTATATTTCGGGGTGTATTTTCCCTATAAAGATAGACATCGCTTCCAGCGTCAAGCGCTGTCTCACACAGGTCCTTCATCACGCCGTACGAAGCCACATCGCTGCGTCTGAGGAGGTGCTGCTGAAGAAGAGCAAGAGGTGTTGAGGGCAGAGGGGGTTGAGGTAAACCATGTGGGTGGGGTGATGGCTTCAGCAGAGTCTGGGGGGTGGTCACTGATCGCACGTCCTGGTAAAGAAGAAGAGCGTTAGACGAATCACAAGGACAGGCATCAGCCCGCCTGCAGGCCTCCAGACAGTGCTATAGATGCATCTGGTTCTTATGAATTTGGCCCTTTAGATTGCGGTTGGTGGAGGCGTGAGAGCACCAGATCATCCTTATAAATGATTAAATCCTACTTCTTTGAGGATTACAAAAGCATTTGAAATACCAAGCTGCAAGTTTCAGGCCCAAATAAATGCATGCTTTTGCACAGGTACTGCTTTATGATCGGATAAACCCTTCTACACCTCAGTAGCGGTTAAACACACTCACCAAAGACAGCCCTTCACATTTCACTTACAGTTTAAATCCTGTAGCTTTATGGCAAGTACAAATGATGTGTTCTTAAAGAGAACAATCAACGAGCTGACATCTGAATAATTCAAACCAAAAGTTTTGCTCGTAATATGGCGAGGATCTGAATCCCAGCCTGTGCTGCCAATTTTCCCTGAAAGGGAACCTTGAAATAAAATCCACTTAAGCCCTGTGTCTTCCCCTCCAGAGTGTAGTTAAATCCTGGCTGTGTATGGACATGATTACGGAGTGCCACGGGTCTTACATCAGTGCAGAACCTTGACTTCCAGCAGGAAA